AGGACGAAAGGTGCCAGGACATTCGACAGGTGCACACACGTGTGCCAGGTTCTGAGGGTTTTCTGAGTAATCGCAGCTTCAGTTTGAGGGTATGATAAGATAATCTTTTAAGCTTGGGAAGTCAGGGAAATCTGATGGAGGATTTTTGTGTCATTGAGATTATATGAGATTGTATTGGAACTATTATTTGAGTTCTTTTCGTTCTTTAAAGAATATTTTTTTTATTTATTTTATGCAGGCTTAGGAAATATTATTAAATTCTACAACTCTTATTAAAGAAGTGCTTCTTTTTATATCTTTAATTTAAGACTAATCCAAGGTTCACTTCTGGTCTTAAATATCTTTAATTTTAAGACAAGTAAAAGCTTATTTACATACTTACTTTTCGAATAAAAACATGTATAAAACCCCGTAAATAATGAAAAATCTGTTTCATATTGAAACATTAATTCCTTACTTACCATTTAATCATTTAACATTATATCAGACAATTTAAATCCCCCAAATGAATACTTAAGCCCAACGAAACGACTTTTTGTAAGCAGAAATTGTTGCATTCACCTTGAAGTTGATTGAAAGAGATTTTGGGATATAAAAGGGCTTTACCAATGGGAAAGCCCATAATGAGCTTGGCTCCTCATGGAAATTCAACTACCAGCTTTTGAATTGGGTAGCAAACTCATTTCCCTGAAAGTTTTAAAGAAATCCGAAGGACCAACTCGCCTGTCACTGACACAGAGATCCCTTATCAAACTTATGTAGCTGCAGCCGGAGAAAGAAAAATTGAGCGGAAAATGAGAGGGAAAAAAACGTGAAAGAAAATCAGCTTGCTTTCGGCAGAACACACTGTTCACTTAAGTTTTGAGAGCCGGGCTTATTGGAATTGACAGGGAGCTCATTCCTTGGATGCAAATTGATTGGCTTTGCGTTTGGCAGGACCCTCGCTCGTTCGCTTGCAGGCGGACCCATGTGGCGTATGAGTAATGTTGCTGTTGGGCAATTCAAAAATTTAATCAAAGTTAAACGCAAGACAACTCGTGTTGAGATTACGAAAAATGCAGTAGCAGTATCTTTCCTCGGAGAGCCATTATGTGAGCCATCAGAACCAGCGTTTACCCTTCGCAAATCCCCTTTTTTATTTTTTCTCGTCTCGTCCTTTTGCATAATCGCAGCTTGAAGAGCTTTTGTCTGGGGCCGCGTGATAAAAGCGAATTGCAATCGCTAAGCCGATAATCATTTGGGTTAAGCATTGCAATAGTTTAATGAACCAGCAACCAAGATTATATATGTATATTATCCTGACGGGCATTTGGGAATTCATTAGCAGATTCCCGCCGCCCGAATTGACACTAATGGCCCTGAACGTGCCTGCGCATCGGAGACTGCAGTGGCAATGCTGCTGCCTCCAGGACATCCCAGACACCAGGACGCCCCTCTTTCTTTTTTTTTTGGGGTCATGGCATCCCGGGGGATAAATACGCTTTGAGTACAACACGACTCCTCTTTCGGGCGTCTGAATAGGGGGACATGGGGCATTACATAAAGTCAGGAAAATCTGCTTTGAACGACAAAAAAAAAGGTGGCAAATAAAAAGGGACGCAAAACTTAAGTTAAGCTTAAGTCTGGCGTACTAAAAATATTTTGCTTCAGAGGAGAGTTAGGGTATAATAAAAAGTTTAGGACAGCATTTCTGGCTTAAGATTATGCTGGAGATGTTTGCATAAAAAGATAAAACAAAGCTTAAGTTGCAGTTTATGTTTAAATTAAGAATGTAAGTAGGTTTTAGGGTATGAAAGATATTGGGTTTTATGAAACAGAAAGTGTTTCTAAAGAAAGTATTAATTACTTCTTTATGTGAGTAATTTTTTAATGAAATATTTTGATTAAAACATTTGTATACCTAACTAAAACATTCTTTAAGTGGTAACTAATTTTAAATAATGTGAGATATAATATTTTATGTAGTTCCTCCTTGAAGTCATCTCTATTGCCACTCCGCTGCGCTTGGTAATATTTCTCCGGGGAGCATATTCTTGATTTAAGAATGATTTTCCGCCAGGGCCATAACCATCAACATGGCGTTCTTCTCTCTTTTTTTCCTCTTTGTGCACCTATATAAATAGCTGACAGGACCCATATTTTTTCGGCTCATTAAACCAACTTTCGGGCTTTACGTGTTTCTTTTGTTGAGTACACACACAGGGCGCACAAGCACGCATCGCAGCACGCACGTGATGCTGGCTCAAAGTTTAGATTTGGTCAAGGCCCAAACAGTTGGCCAAATTGCGAGCCTTGACACGCTCACACTCAGGCAGGCACACACACACTCGCGTCCTTGGGGCAGCCGGAGGAGCATTTAAAATAATTACACTCACTTGCATACAATAAGGAAAAACAGGGGGCTTTCTCATTGTCAGTCGCACACATAAATCTCCCATGGAAAATGCACTTGGACAGGGAAATAAATAATACAACAAAAACATATATATATATGAGTCCCGCGCGGCGGTGGTCCATCCTTCGGTCATAAAGAATGCTTTACGTCCGGCGCCTAATTGGTGCGAAGTTAGGGGCCCCATTATATAAGAGAGTCGGTGCAATTAGTATTTCATTAGGCCCCAGGTCCTGGCCCAGAGTCCTGCCTCAAGAGGCTCACCATCTCCATCCCTCTATCTCCCAGGATCTTCTCTCCAATTTGCTGGAAGTAAACAAGGCAATGTTTGCTTAGCTTTAACTTTCAGCAAAAGGCAATTTCCAACTGCCTCTTCATTACGCAAATGCCTTCGTTCGAAGGACCAAACATCTTGGGCAAAACACACACTCATATAAACTTAGAGTGGAATATGTGAGGATTTGCATAAGTATGTAAATAAGCGTTGCGAAGGCAAGGAAATAAGAATTCCAAGCAATCATGCGGGCAAATACAGTCGAAAGTATCCAACATAAACATCCTTTAATCGATGTAGCTAAGGGAAATCAACCGGAAAGGCTAAAACAGTCTATTCCCGGAAAGGAAACATATTTTCTCGGGGTTTTTCTTTTGAATTTTTATTAATTTAAGTATTGTTGGGCAGAAAGTTTTTAAAGTCATATACAACCAAACTTTTTGTATTCTTTACATTCCTCATCAAAGGGCTTAACGAAACTATATGTGTGTCTGGTTTAGCAAAGTAAAAAATAAATATTAAAATATAAATATAATTAAGTAAAGGGAAAACTTTGCAAAGAATTTAAGAGGAACGCATTCCATTACCATTTTAAATATTTATCCACAAAATGTGTAGAGTACCAACTCTTCAACAAACTTACTGCAACTATTTTCTCAAGTTACTAATTATAGATAAACCTTTTTGGCACCTTCTCCTTATCAAAATTTTTAATAACTTTCCCAATTTACCAATATAAAAGATAATTTCACAGATGCCCCACTGTAAAAGTAATCACAAAAGAGGCTTTTCTCGTCTGCGAATTTAATTTGCAAACAGTTTTAGTGCCCATATTTGAGGCTTCACATTAATTCCTCGCATACGCAGCCTTCAAGGTTCAACGCAAACAATTACACCAATTTTCCAAGGAATTCTTAAAAACGCAAATTTCATTTTCCCCACACTCACACACATACCTCATGTCCATGCCCAATTTTTCCATTTTATTTCGGAGCATACGCTTATCCCAGAATATCGGTTGGGGAAAAACAGATTTCAGCTTTAAAATTTGACTCACGTTTCGCTTGATAAGCTTGAAACACGCAATGGATGCAAAGAGATAAAAAACGGAAATCAAATTATCAGCCATAAAGCGAGCTGGGATATGGCCCACACGAGAGCATTCAAATACGAAGCCCTTGGAAAAGCCAAGCGAAAAGCTGGGAAAAATCGGAAAATATATTGATTCGGGGGGAGGGGAGAAAACTTAAACCGCAATCTGAATTTATGCTGCTATCATAAACTGAACCAGGACATCACTTCTATTTTATTAACTTGACCTTTAGTGTTGAAGTGGTGACTATATATAGATAGAGCTGATTTCTTATAAGGGGAAATATCTAATCAAGATTGATCTTAAGATTTATTTTTGCCTGGAAAGTATTTATTATTTATTTTATTTTAAAGAATTTACATTGCATTACCATATTTACATAGTCAAATATAGTTATAAATAGCATTGCTTAGTTATGTTTTCTCTTACAAACAATTTCCTATTGTTTTCATACTTTTCACTGGCATCTCTGGTGCCAAGTGTGTGGGTTGGTATATGGAAGGATGTGCCTGAAGGCAAGTTGTCTCCAGCCTAGAAGGCGATAAAGTTGAGCCATGACTATATTGTTCTTGTGTTTGGGATGTCAGCATAGCGACGAGGATCTCGGCAGCTAACTATGTTGTACAACAAGTCGCATTCGTTGGCATTTCAGGACATACATACACATCCTCGCCCGCACTTCACGCACACACACACACCATACAACATACACCACACACATCACTCTGTCAAGTGAAATAAATGTCATGGTCAATTTAACACAGAGACAGTGTCGCTTTTGGCTTGACTTTGGTTTTTCCCCGCGCTTTTCCGAAGACGTCGAGGCACCAAATGCATCGCATGCTCCATTGTTTTCGTCTCTCTGTATCTCTCAAGAAAATTCCATCTCTCGCAACCATTTGGATCAGAGCACTTGATTGATTAAGTGTCTTAAGCTATACCAATATTTGAATATCCAATTTATATATATATACATATATCTTTTGTATTCTTTCTTCTTCTCTCTTTTGCGCGCTCTTAAAAACGTATAACTTGTGCCAACTAACTAACTAAATAAACTAACTCTGTAACTTATGTAACGACTATATATATATGTAAAGTTTGCATACTGCACGGATATTGTAAGTGCTAAAGGATACAGCAGCCCAGGGCCGAGATCCTATCCTAGATATATCCATATCGAATAATCGCCCACGTCCTCCCAAAGTATGCTATATATGATTTTTGCTTAACTCTTGCAGACGATGCACAGCCTAAAATGCGTTTTAGCCTCTCACCACCGCCACAGAAAGCCATTGCCAGCAGCAGCAGCAGTAGCTCCACCCGCCTAACCTCGCCCACCATCGCCAACGCCACCAGGAACATCTCTACACGGAGCAGCACCACCCTCGGCCCAAGCACCACATCCCCCGGCAGCTACAATAGAAGCCCCAGCCCCCGAGCCTTTGGCAGCATGCTGGCCCGCAATGGCGGAGGACACGAGGTCAACCCGAGTGCCACCGCCTCCGGGTCCGGATCCGCTGCCTCCACTACCGCCGCCGACGACGAAGCTGCCTCGGATTACAACCAGTGGCTGCATGCCATGAAGCTGGTGGCCCGCCTGCCCGGAGGCACACCGCCCGAGTTCCGGCGCAAGGTGAGATTTTACGAGGATTAGCGAAAAGCTCGGAAGCTGAAACAGGAAACTAGCAGGGGAAATCTGTAGTTTAAAGATAAAACTATTAGAAAACACTGAAGCTTTGAATTTAATAGGTAATAAACCTTTTATGTATTTCAATACCCTTCTCAGTTGTGGCTCTCGCTGGCGGACAAGTACCTCAAGTCAAAGAATGTGGACTGGGCACAGCAGCGGGAGAAATGCTTCTGCGAGGAGTGGCGCGAGGATGATGAGGAGCTGGGCATCCAAATCGTCAAGGTGAGCTGCAGTCACGAACCAAAGGGGTGTCCACCCCCTAGAGAATGCCTAATGATTTCCACCTTCCTCCCTTTGCCCCGTTTAGGATCTGCACCGGACTGGCTCGAATCTGTGCACCGGCCCCGCGGGCTCCATCAACCAGGCCAAGTTGAAGCGCATACTGCTCGGCTATGCTCGCTATAACCCCGAGGTGGGCTATTGCCAGGTGAGTGCCTCCGTAAACAGTCTTTGTGTGCTCCAGCAGTGTTGTAAAAAGTGGCCTTAAAAAAGGATATAAACTAACAAGGCAGTAAAATCAAAATAATAATCCTATAACGTCAGAAATAACTATTTTTATATGTTTAAATATTTGGTATAAACTTCAAAATACTTCACAGTAAGAAAACAAATGTAAAAATCATTATTTAAATATCACAATCCGACAACTCTGACCTGCTGCTGTCTGCTCTTCAAAAGGTTAAACATTATCCTTGTTTCCTCCCCGCAGGGCTTCAACATGCTGGGTGCCTTGATATTGCAGGTGATGGACAAGGAGGAGGAGGAGTCCATGAAGGTCATGATCTATCTGGTGGAGGGCGTACTGCCTACGGGCTACTTCTATGGCTCAATGGGCGGTTTGCAGGCGGACATGGGCGTTTTCCGGGAGCTGATGCAAACCCGCTTGCCCCGCTTGGCGAAGCACTTGCAACGCCTCCAAGGTCCTGTGGAGAATGCCTTTGAGCCGCCGCTGACCAATGTGTTTACCATGCAATGGTTTCTCACCATGTTCTGCACCTGCCTGCCCATGTCCTGTGTTCTACGAGTGTGGGATCTGGTTCTCATCGAGGGCAGTGATGTTCTGCTGCGAACAGCTCTTGTTCTTTGGAGTTTGCTTGAAGAGTGAGTATAATAATAATTGATACTATTTAATTTTAATTCGATTTAATATAAAATCGATTCTTTCACCACTGCGTATGAGTGATAAATTTACCAAAAACCACCTCTTAGGCGCATTTAATGTAATTACTATGGCATCTCAATTACAATTGAATGCGAAACTATTACGTTATCTAAGTGCATCCAGGCGGTGTGGCAAGTGCTCTTCGGGTGGGCTTTTGTGGGCGGTTCTTGCCGCAGTGCCCAGGCTTGCATTTGTGTCAAGGTTGCCTGCTAGAATTTGGCAAGAGTTTTTCTCTTGCAAATGCAATTTAGCAATTTCCCCCACTCCTTGGCCGGGTCCCACAAGGAATTTTATGTTCAGACATCGTGGTGGTGGCTTTTTATGGCTCTGTGGGAAAACAAGTTTTGCAAATATCAACAAGGCTTGCGGGGAAAGGCAACAAAAAGAAAAACGGAAGACATTGAACTATGTGTTGGAATGTAAACTACCATAGAAATTGGTTTTAGCATGGGAGGTCAAGGCCAAGGGTTGACTGGGGAAATCACAGCTTTAAAAATACTTTAATCATGATGATCCTAAAGAAGTAACCAATACCTACTCTTAACCCCTTTTCAGGCGCGTTCTCAGCGTTCGTTCCGCGGATGAATTCTATGGGAAGATGGGTTCCTACTCCAGTGAGCTGCTCAATGGCCATCTTGTGGACTCCAATGGCCTTATCGAAAGGGTAGTAAAACTGGGACCCATTGCGGATCTGCGACAGCTGAGGGACAAGCATCTGTACAACATTGCCCCATTGCGTCACAAGCAGGGATTGCAGTGAGTATCCATTAATCCTCATCCTAATCCCTATCTAAGAAATCTCCCATCTTCCAGGCTCTACTACGACGACGAGGATACGCATTCGGATGAGGAGCGCATGGCGGTGGCCACCGTTTGGGGATTGAATTGGGGCAGACGTGGATCTGTGGGTCCAGCGGCGGCAGGCAAGCAGCCAGCGGAGCAAAAGGATCGCCTGGCTCTGGACATTTCCCTGCTGAAGAAGCAATACGATCGACTGAGGGAGCGTCAGAAGCAGGCTCATGTCATCCTAACCACAGCCTGCTCCACGGCTGCACGGCAGGGAACGGGACCTGGGAACAGCACCCAGCCTGCGGTGCCAGTGAATCAATTGCTCCTTGGTCGTCCAGCCATTGTGACCAACAAGGGAAAACGGGTCGGTGCTCCATTGGGTGCCATTCCACCTGCTCGCAAGCCTTCGCTACCCGCAGTGCTCCATACCAAGCCGGCGGAGAAGCAGTTGCGCCGCGGGGAGACGCTCCTCTGGCGAGACACGGATCCGAGCAGGAGACGTCGGGACAGTCTGACCTGGAAGGAGATCAAGGCAGATCGAGCGGCCATGATGCGAGAGGGCGTCGATGTGAGTTCCATGAAAACCCAGAAGCTGCGCACTCGCTTCGGCAAGAGCGATAGCTCTTCCTACAGCGAGGATAGCGATGGAGAGCAGGAGGTGGGAGGTGGTAGCGGTGGAGGAGGTTCCAGCACTGATACCAGTCTCTGCGACGATGATGATCCCAAATCCATGGAAAAGAGTCCCAAGCAGAAGGCCAAGCTTGCCCGAAAACTCAAGGAGCAGAAACAACTGGGCAGCTCCAGGGAGGCAAGCCTGGAACGACAACGACCCAAGTCCTGGGCGCCCAGCAGCCAAGAGATTCCCTTCATTCTGATGGGCACGGATAGCGGGGATGAAAAGGATCCACCTGTTAAGGAGGATAATGACATAGCAGAGGATAGTGCCACGGAAAGCGATCGCTTCCCGTACGAGAAGGATCTGAATTTTGTCAACTTCAAACTAGAGCCTTTGGATATAAAATCGGTTACCGAAGGCATAGAACTGCCAGAGATTCCCGGCTTGACACCCATTAGTCCCATACCCACTACCAAGGAGAAGAGTGCAGCTGAGGAAGATTTGCTAGAGGAGCACAAGCCTTTTGATGGGAGTGATAGCGGAGTGACCAATCAGTATTTCGAGAGAGTCAACAGTGTGGAGCGACCCAATAAGCTGGAATTATCCTATTCCCTCAACGAGGAGGAATCGGAGACAAGCGTCGCGTATCTGGAACAGCGAGAAAAGGTTGAAGGACACAGTGCGGATGGGGATTACCAGGCATTGCCACCACTTCCCCTGAACCCAGAGGATGATCCCCTTCCTGGTGCTGGTAAAGTGCCTCAGATTCGCGACGATAACATTCCAGGTGAGAACAAAGACGACTACAAGGAGCTGCTGAGCATGACGATAGAGGAAAGGGTGGAATTCAAGCCACCACCTCCGACAGCCAGTAGCTTGAGTAGTGCCGCCCGGAAAAGGCGAGATCCCCGTCGCAAGACCCTGACCCGCTCTTCGACTATTGATATCGAGGAGCGTTACCAGGCTCTGGAACGGAGGATCAGCCAGGAGCAGCCAACGGTGGAGCGGTCATCCAAATACATTCCCAGCACTGCCGCTTTGGAGGAACGCTTCAACACGCTGGAAAAGCAACTGAGTGCCGAAAAGCAGCGCAAGGAACTCGTGGAAATGGATGCCGACCAACCGGAAAAGTTCGAACGAATTCCCTCCACCGCCGATTTAGAGACCCGTTTCAATGCCTTAACTAAACAAATGAGTTCCAGCGAATCCACAGCCAAGTCTCCCATCGATCTCAAGGAGGACGAACAAGCTAGTGGCAGCAGCAGTTTCAAGGAGCAAAAGGATAGCGAGAAAACCAGCAAGCTGCACAAATCCGAGGACATCGAATCGGAAGCCCAAGAAAGGTCCTCCTCCGCCAAATGTGAAACCAACGAATCTAAAGAAAAGGCCACTGAAGACGAAAAAGCAGAACAGCCACGCCTTAAAAAATTACCCTCCACGGCTGAGCTGGAAGATCGCTTCAATGCCCTTGAACGTAAGATGAGTGTGCAGAAGAGCAGTCCAGTGAAAACCAAGAAGGAGCCACCCGATGAAGAATCTAATGATCAGGAAAGCAAACCACAAGAGTCCGAAAAGGCAGTTTTAAAAGAGCACAAAGGAAATCGGGAAGAGTCTGAAGTGAAAGTGTTATCCCCAACAGAAGAGCCAGCTCCGAAAAGTAAATCAAAGCCAGTTGCATCACCAAAGCAAGCGGAAAAATCTTTAAAAGAAAGTTCTGAAGGGAAAAGGGATACCAAAGAATCGGAAATTGTTGAAGAAGATGTTGCACCAAATATTGAAGTCAAAAAGAAAACTGATTCGGCTAAAGTTGATCCTACTGAAAAAGAAAGCCCTAAGAAGGCAGATCCTAAAAAGGTTGAAACCCAAAAGAAAGTAGAATCCAAGCCGGTGGAGTCTGCAAAGAAAACTGAATCGGAAAATGTTACAACAACCAAAAAAACAGACTCGGAAACCAAGTCGCCAGCCAAAGAGTCTAAGGAAGCACCACGAAAATCGCCACCTTCAACCGAGGAACTAGAAAAGCGCTTCAATGCCCTGGAAAAGCAGCTGAGCACCACAAATCTAGAACCAACCAAGCAGGCTGAGCCAACAAAGTCCCCCGAAAAAACCAAAGAAGTACAACAGGATGAAAAAGCACAAAAGTCAATGAAATCCTTTGATGACAAGATCAAAGAGGTGAATACAGCTCTGGTCAAGGAACAAATAAAAGTGGCGCAGAAGGATCCTGCGGAGAAGAAACCAAAATCTCCCGAAGAGAAAGTAAAGCCACCCTTAAAACCTGAACCAGAGCAAAGCCACCAAAGTGACCTGAGCAAACGAAGAGCCTCTGAGCCACCTTCCACAGAGGACTTGGAGAAACGCTACGAGACCCTGAAGCGTCGTATGAGCAGCAAGAATCACTTTTCCACTCCAAACGAGACGGTTAACGAGGCTCTGGAGAGGATTGAACAGGAGATGATCTCGGAATCTGTGGAGGAGGAGAAGAAGCCGCCACCATCCACAGAAGATCTGGAGAGCCGCTTTGAGGCATTGCAAGGCGGAGAGAAAAAACCCAAGACCCAGAGCCAACCCAAGCATGTGGACGTGGCCATCGAAGCGCACATTCCCGAGCCGCCGCCACCACCTCCGCCACCAAAGGAGCTGCCTATTCTCTCTGGCCCTGTGCTCCACCAGCAGCAGGCTCTGATCGAGGAGCTGCAGCGGAAGATGCGCGGCCAATCACCGGGTGATGAGAACCTCAAGCCCAGCGAGATCAATCCGGAACGGAGGCAGCGGAAGCTGCTGCAACGACCCACGCCCATGGGCGATGAGACCTCGGAAGCACCTGCAAACACGGCTTACTACAGAGCGGCAAACCAAGAACAATGGCAGCAGCGCATGGTGCGTCGGTTCTCTGACCTGCCCTCCCGGGCCGATCTCGAGAACCGATTGCAGTTCCTGGAGAGGCAACTCTACAAGAAGTTCTACAAGCAGCGCTGTGCAAGTGATTCCGAAGTTGCATCGAAGGTCAAGCATTCACCCTCGCCCGACGAACTGCCGACCACCTCCCGCCAGGCCAGAGCCGTGGCCGATGGACTGCTGGAGCAACGTGTCCTGGCCCTGGAGAAGCAGCTGAGCGAGAATAGTCTCAAGCTGCTCGAGGCGATACGGGATCGTGAGGCGAACGCAGCAGCTCCCCAGAGCGATGACAGCGGTGGCAGTCCTCGACGACTCAGCACGGAAACAATCGATGCCACCGGCAAGGAACTGGTTAGGTACACCCAGAACATTGGTGAGCTGGAGGAAGTGGATGCCCACAAGCCCATTAACATTAGCATTAACATCAAAATGCTGCTCAACAAGGACAGGAGTGAACCCAAGCAGCCTAAAGCCGAGTCCCAGCCCACAACCGAGGATCTAACCCGTCGCCTTGAGCTCTTAGAGCAGCAACTGCTGGAGGAGCGGGCCAAGAATGGCTCATTTATTCCAGAAAATGGAGTCATTCGGCCTGAGGAAAGTGAGGCCTGCAAGAAACAGGAAAAGAACTGCCACAATCAGCATGTGAAAAGCGATGAAAACCAAAAGGTCGAGGAGCCTGTCAAGGATCAAATCAAACCCGAGACCGCCAAAGAAACCAAGACTATGGAAAATGAGGAAAAAGCTCAAGCTCAAGCTCGAGCCAAGGAAGTGGTTACCGAAAAATCCACAAAATTGGATAAACCAAAGGTGGATGAGAAAACTGTTGTCAAGGAGGTAAAAGTGGAGCCTCCCATTAAAGACAAAAAAGAAGAGATTACCAAGAAAGAAGATAAAGCTCATGTCACTAAAGAAGCCTCCTCCGAAATAAAACCTAAACCAACTAAAGAGGAAAATCCCAAAAAGAAATCTCCAAACCAAAAGAATCTTCCTCCCAAGGAATCCCTACCAATAAGAAAGAAATTCCGAAGACAGAGGAAACCTCATCTAAGGAATCAGCTTCCACCAACAAGACACAGGATAATCCAAAGGCTGAAACAATCAAGGCAAAGGAAACCGCCTCCGCCAGCAAAGAATCAATCAAGCAACTGCCAGAGAAAACCAAAGTGACCACCAAAGACCTATCTTCGCCAAAAGAAGTGCCCGATAAAATGGTGATTAATGCTTCTGATTTAGGACCAATGGATCCCAACAACAAGACAGTGGTGCTCCTCATGGACAACGAACCCCGAGCTTCGAGAGTTAGAAGATTGACAAGAGCCAACACCGAGGAATTGGAGGGACTTTTCCAGGCACTAGAGAAGCAGCTGAGCGATCGTAATCTCATAAAGTCCGAAGATGGTCGTTTAATAAGAGCGGATAGCAAGCCAAGTGCTGAGCAGGCAGAGCAAGTTCAAGCTATCAGTGATCTCACCAAGGAAATCGAAGACTTCACCAGCGGTAAGCCGGAGGAGAAAGAGAAACCAGAGGAAGCCGTTAAAGAGGACAAGCCAGAGCCGGAGGAGCCAGAGGAGGACTACGATTGGGGACCCAATCCGGTGAAGCATCACCTGAAAAGAAAGACAGCCTACCTGCCTTCTACAAAAGAACTTGAGGCACGCTTCCGTTCCTTGGAGAGGCAGATCAAACTGCTGGAAGACGTGGAGAAGATCGATGTGGAGCAGCGTCTGGTGGAGATTGAGCGAAAGATCAAGTTGCAGTATTCGCTGTCTCACGAGAAGGATTTGAACAAGTATTTGGAGCTGTGCGAAGGCAGGGGCTTGGATGATGATGAAACTTTACCCGAAGAAACAGCCACCAAGGAGGAGGAAACTGCAAGGGCCAGGGATCGCTCACGCAGTCCTGGACGCAAGGTGGCCACCAAATCCCCATATACTTCTCCCTCAAGAAAGGTGGCCACTAAATCCCCATACACATCACCTTCACGGAAGTCTGCCACCAAATCACCTTACACTTCGCCCTCCAGGCAGCGCGAGAAAACACCCTACTCCTCGCCAACCCGCTCGCCGGAAAGGAAATCCAAACGGAGTCCCTACACCTCACCAGCTCGTCGCAAGCCGCATCCCAATGACTTGCCAATCTCTGATGATCTGGAGTACAAGTACCGCGTGCTCGACTTGGTTCGATCCAAGTCCAAGGAGAATCTGGCCAAACGCATGAATGATCCCAATAGAAAGCCGCCCATTCATCCACTCGAAATACTGCTCGATCCTAGTCCCGATGACAGTGCAATACCCTCGACTGGGGAGTTGGAGCACAGGATCCGAGTACTCGATGGAAAACTCAAGTCCCCGGCAAAGGTTCGCTCCAAACCGCGTTCCCGTTCGCCAACCATCGAGGACATGAAGCGACAAAAGATGAGGGATGAGCAGAAGCCCAGGACACCGGTGCACAATCTGGAGCGATTGGTCAGCTCACCTGGCCGACCAGAGCCACCCACTGCCGAGGAACTGGAAGAGCGTATGCGCATCCTGGAGCAAGAGCATACCTTTGACTTCAAGACCCAAAAGGACTACCGGGCATTCAATCAAAAGCTAAAGGACGTGATATCACCATCGCTCTCCTTCGAGGAGTTCCGGGCAGCCAAGTCCCGGGAACAAAGTCCCCGCCGCCATGGCGCCACCACACCCAAGTCTGCCCTGCGTCGTGACGATTACGATGAGGCCACCTCCAATACGACCACCACCTACTATCGGCCCACCAGTCCCAAGGTGATACGTTTCCAGGACGAAGACGAGGACCACTTTGAGGAGACGCCCAGGCCCAAGTCGCGACAGACCAGCGATCGAATGGTGGGCAGAACTAATGACGCTTTGGACTGTTTAACAGAGAATGCTATAATTCTCCAACGTATTCTTAAGAAGACTCTTGCAGATCAGCCATCGGCCACTCGCAGCTACGCCAGCAGCTCGGAGGGTCTGGATGCCCTGGGCAGTCGCCTTATGAGGGTGAGTATGGATCTCCTTTGAGATGGAATTAATCTGAATATATTTTGATATTTTCCAGGAGACCTCTCCGATTACCCGAACTGGAACCCACACCGGTGTACCGCTGCGCACTGGGGAGAACATCAACGACCGGCTGAGTTCGATCAAGAACTCGATCAAATCCATCGACAACCTGTGCGAGGAGAAGCCTCCTCCTTACCAGAAGGAGAAATGCCAGCGCTACATCGACTCACTCTTCTCGGACTCCCTGCACTTTGCCAGCAAGAAGAGCTCTCTGGAGGACCTAAGTCTCAGCCGGAGTCTGAGTCGCAGTGAGAGCCGTGGCAGGAGCATCCATCGAGCATCCGGTGACTATGCTCCCTCCATTCGAATCACCTCGGAGCATAGGTCATTGGGCTCAGCGGAGTCCCGAAGGAGTCCGCTGGGAAGCTCGGCTCGGGACACGAGTCCCCTGCACTACCGATCCCATCGGGATATGAGCAGGGATCTCTCGCCACGGAGGAGACGCCTAGAGGAGCAGGAGGAGGAGGAGGAGCGCGAGCGAAGGGAACGCGAGCGGGAACGGGAGCGGGAGAGCAGTAGGGTAAGACGTGATAACTTGTTGCCAAATTATTCAGCCGATAATCGTAGCGAACTAAGTAGCGGGAGTAGTTTAACCGGGTTTAACCACAAAGTAGATAGACAACTAGAAGAGACCTGCGCCAAGTACGCGGACGACGCCCGACGCTCGGCCTGTCGCACCCCGTTGAGCCATCCCTACGAGTCCCGCAGCACAGCCACACGACACCAACAACCATCACACCACACAGATCCAGTCCAGGACAGTTTCCCCCGGCCCGTCTCACCCTATCGCCAGGCGTATGAACCCCGTGGTCCAGCAGGTGCCACTAGCTCATCGGCCCCCGTCTATCAGCCCGGCAAGCTGGAGATTCGCCACACCACCGTGACCTCCACCTTTTATGATCGTTTCCTTACCGAAAAGCAGATCGAGCGGACCCATTCCCGTCCCAACAGCAGGTCCCCAGTGGCATCGCCCTCGGTTCCAGCCAGAGGGAGCTATGGGGACTTTAGTACCACCACCTCAGCCCCATCCTGCACCACTGCCACCGTCACACCGTCACTCATGTCCAGCAGCTATGCAGGCACATCCTTTTCGCTGCCCACCAGCAGCCAGTATCCCTATTCTAGGGTCACATCCTCCTCTGATCTTCGCTCTGCTGCCACTGCTACCACTACTTCAGCCTCATCCACCTCAACCACCACATCCTCCTATGTGCCGTACAATTTCAGCAGCTCCTTTACTTCTCGCCTGAGTGATCCCATTACCACGTGCTCGGCGAGCACCAGTTCCCTCACCACTTCCACGGGGGTCTACAATCCCATGATGTCGTTCACACTGAGGGAACCATTGGCCAGCAGTTCCCTGGGTGCTGCAAGTGCCTCACCACTGGCTCCGTTTCAGTTCAATCGCACCTTCGTTTCCAATTTTGACAAGGAACAGGAGAAGAAATAAGGAAACCACATCAGTCGTTAACCAAAGGTTGTCCATAAACATCACAAAACAGAATAAATACACAGAAAAAATACATACTTCGAATGAATTCCAGACGTAACTCGAACAGATCAAGCTCAAAAATTAATATAATGAGAGAAAAAGTGTTTTCTAAAATGATTAATATTTACTTTAAATAGGAAATAAAAATAATTCTATATATATTAATAGAACTAAAATCTATAAATATCCTATTATAAATTTCAACTAGTAAAGGTTCTGAATTCCCTGAACTTATCACTTACTCTTATTTATTGTAACTTATTTTCTTAGTTTTATGGTTTTCAATTTCTCTGTGTATATTCCATTTTAAAACGTCTTTTCTCTCATTATATTTAATGCTCACTAAGCAATATATATATATTAACTATAATACACAGTTTTAGGCAACAAAATACACAACTAAATATATATATCTCTATTAATATATACATATACACACCTTGCGAATCGGATATTTACTCTTCTTGCACCAGACCATTTTGGCTTCTTGCAACTTACCTCATCTACATTGACAGCACCGGCAACTCAACTGATCATAACTTAGCAAAGATTTTTATACAATATATATACATCTATATATATATAAAGATATCTATCGAAACTGTAACCAAAAAAAATGTAAAACGGGCAAATTGTTACTCCAAACATCTTTTTTCAGCGTTAACCACAAATGTTTAGCTCTAATTCCTCAATTATACTTACAAAACTTTTCCTTAATATTAAATAATCAATTTACACGGTTTACACACTAGCCAATCAATTACACAACCAGATATAATGTACACTATGCTACGGTGTAAAGATTTCTCTCTCAGTGCATTTTTCGGGGCCGAGTTAGTCGCGGTTGCTAAAAACTTAATAATTAATCAAATTACGTTAACTGACTGACACGAGAGCCATAAAATTAGTTTACCAAAAAAACATTGTTAAATATACACGCAGACAGAAATATATATGTGTACCTATACGAATTGAACGATATATTATATATACATACATATATATTACATTTAATTATATACCCCGATTGCAGTTGTTGAATTTCAATTATGCAAAAGACACGTTTACGATAACGAATAAGCAAGTAACCCCGAAGGATAATGGCCATAGAAACAAATATCAGGCGAGGCAGAGGACCCGAAAGTTAATCAAAACGATTAGGAAAATTTTATGACAAGTGTATTTCGATTCAAAATCGGCAAGTTTCCACAATAACTAACAAAAAGGCAATTGTTAAGTAGGCAAAGAAAAAACAAGATGATAACGGCTTCAGTTGATATATACCACTTATGCATAACTTAAATCTTAATTAATGTTCCCTCTTCGATTTTCGTTAACCCAGTTTTGTTCTTGTTGTTGAGACATTTTTGTAAACCATTTTTTTGTTATTGTTTTTGAGAACACAACAAAACAAACGAATTGGTAAAAAGTTAAAACAAAAAAAAATTAAAAACAAAATAGTAAACATATTTTTATTACAAATTGTTGAAGAGTTTTAAGTTTTGAAATAAAACGAAAATATTTAAAAACAATTTTTGTTCGGCTATTGATTGAATTTTTCCATCACTTGGGAGAGAGAGAGAGGGGCTCACTGATAAGCCGAGATCAGTGTCTAGCCTTATCACCTCGAAATGGGAGAATCTTTCCAGCTTTGAAATCAGTCACCGATTGAAATCCGCTTGGCGTGGACGTGCCTTTTTTTGAAAAGCCGCTTAAACATGCAACGATTCTTGGGAAGGAGCAGTCAGAGCCTACTGCTAAGATGTGGACACCGCTATCTGGCCACCACGCCCGTGGAGGAGGTGCTATTCCCCACCAAATCCGATTTTCCCAGTCGCCATATTGGACCCCGGAAAACGGATGTGGTGGCCATGTTGGATACCTTGGGTTTTAAGGTAGGATAGGGATAGGGATGTGGATCTTTACTATATAGTAATGACATAGATAAAGAAAGGAATCTATAATCTATATCTATTTATTAACTTTAGTCCTTGGCTGAGCTCACTGAAAAGGCCGTGCCCCAAAGCATTCAACTGAAGAGGGAACTCGACCTGGACAAACCCCTGAGTAAGTAGTGTTATTTTATAATCCCAAAAATAGCTGGAAATCAAAAACTAAGACATTCGATGAGGCAACAGACCCCCTGGCGTGTTCGCAGGCGTTGATAAGCCCGATGATAAGCTGGGATCAACGAGGTCTCCCGCCTCCTTATCGCTGTTGTGACTGCCTCCGCTTGATCTTCTGTCTCTGGCTGACAACAACTTTTCACGACCAAACTTCTACACTTCCCTCTCCGCCCAGACGAGCACGAGCTAATCCGTCGTATCCGCGACATCTCGCTCAAGAATCAGCTGTGGCGCTCCTACATCGGTATGGGTTACCACAACTGCCATGTGCCTCATACCATTGTCCGGAACATGTTCGAGAATCCGGGTTGGACCACCCAGTATACGCCCTACCAGCCGGAAATAGCCCAAGGCCGTTTGGAATCTCTGCTGAACTATCAGACTCTGGTATCCGATCTTACGGGTCTGGATGTGGCCAATGCTTCGCTGTTGGATGAGGGAACTGCTGCCGCCGAGGCCATGTGCCTGGCCACGCGTCACAACAAGAGGAAGAAGCTTTACCTTTCGAACAGAGTCCATCCCCAGACTATTTCGGTGGTGAAGACGAGAGCTGAGGCTTTGGAGCTGGAGATTGTGGTGGGACCCATTGAGCAGGCTGATCTACCCAGTCGTGAGCTGGCCGGTATTCTCCTTCAATATCCGGATACCTATGGAGATGTCAAGGACTTTGAGGACATATCTGCCTTGGCCAAAAAGAATGGAGTGAGTTTGCTTAAAGAAATCTTTAAAATAATATGAATTTTAATCTTTTTCCCCTCTGTAGACCCTTGTGGTGGTGGCCACCGATCTCCTCTCGCTGACCCTGCTTCGTCCTCCGGCGGAATTTGGTGCTGACATTGCTGTGGGTACCTCTCAGCGCTTGGGAGTTCCCCTGGGTTATGGTGGCCCCCATGCTGGATTCTTTGCCTGCAAACAGAGTCTGGTACGCCTGATGCCAGGCCGCATGATCGGTGTGACCCGGGACATGGACGGTAATGATGCCTATCGCCTGGCCCTGCAGACACGCGAGCAGCACATCCGCAGGGACAAGGCCACCAGTAACATTTGCACAGCTCAAGCTCTACTGGCCAACATGTCGGCCATGTATGCCATCTATCATGGCCCGGAGGGTCTTAAAGCCATGGCCAACCGGATCCACCATTTTACGCTGACCCTCCAAACGGGACTCCTGGGTGCGGGCCATGAAGTGCTCAACAAGAACTTCTTTGACACGCTGCACATTAAACTGGCTGGAAATCAATCTCTGGAGGATCTAAAGGAGCGTGCCGAGCACAAGCGCATCAATTTGAGATATCTTGAAGATGGCACTGTGGGTGTTGCTCTTGATGAAACGGTCAGTGTGGCGGATGTGGATGATCTGCTGTGGGTGTTCAAGGCGGAGGCTACAGTGGAGCAGCTCCTGGCACGTCGCGATGTTCTCAAGAACTCCATTGAGAACTCCAAGTTCCTGCGTACTTCGGCCTACCTGCAGCATCCCATTTTCCAGAGTTATCACAGGTGAGTTTGGTATAAAGATAATATCAGTAATGATAGTTAAAAATACCTTTTACCCTCAGTGAATCCCGCATGGTGCGCTATATGAAGAAACTGGAAAACAAGGACATCTCTCTGGTGCACTCCATGATCCCCCTGGGATCCTGCACCATGAAACTTAATTCCACCACCGAAATGATGCCCTGTTCCTTCCGCCACTTCACCGATATCCATCCCTTTGCTCCTGTAGAGCAGGCTCAAGGATTCCATCAAATGTTCAACGAACTAGAGCGTGATCTGTGCGAGATTACGGGTTATGATAGAATCTCCTTCCAACCCAACTCAGGGGCTCAGGGAGAGTATGCCGGCTTGAGGGCTATTAGGAGTTATCATGAGCACAGGAACGAGGGACACAGGAATATCTGCCTTATCCCCATCTCTGCCCACGGCACAAACCCAGCATCAGCTCAAATGGCGGGCATGAAGGTAGAACCCATTAGGATCTTGTCAAATGGCTCCATTGACATGGCCCATCTGAGAGCAAAGGCTGAGGAGCATTCCAATGAACTGTCCTGCCTGATGATCACCTATCCGTCCACCATGGGTGTCTTCGAGGAAACAGTGGCGGACATCTGCACACTGATCCACAAGCATGGAGGACAGGTCTACCTGGATGGTGCCAATATGAATGCCCAGGTGGGATTGTGCCGGCCTGGAGACTACGGCAGTGATGTGTCCCATCTGAACTTGCACAAGACCTTCTGTATTCCGCACGGTGGTGGTGGTCCAGGAATGGGTCCCATTGGCGTCAAGTCCCACTTGGCTCCGTATCTGCCAGGACATCCGGTGGTGAGTCCCTTGAGCAGCGAGGAGCACAGCTTTGGAGTAGTTTCTGCCGCACCTTTTGGCAGCTCTGCCATCCTGCCCATCTCCTGGTCTTACATCAAGCTCATGGGAAGCCGGGGCCTAAAGAGAGCCACCCAGGTGGCCATTCTCAATGCAAACTACATGTCCAAGCGGCTGGAGCAGCACTATAAGACACTCTACAAGGCACCCAACTCGGATCTGGTGGCCCACGAGTTTATCTTGGACATACGAGACCTCAAAAAGACGGCCAACATCGAGGCTGTGGATGTGGCCAAGCGACTGATGGACTATGGCTTCCATGCTCCCACAATGTCCTGGCCCGTCGCTGGAACCCTGATGATTGAGCCCACAGAGTCTGAGGATAAGGAGGAGCTGGATCGTTTCTGTGATGCCATGATTTCAATTCGAGAGGAGATCGCAGAGATTGAGGCAGGACGCATGGATAAGGCAGTGAATCCCTTGAAGATGTCCCCGCACACCCAGGCCCAAGTCATCTCGGAGAAGTGGGATCGACCCTATACACGGGAGCAGGCTGCCTTCCCAGCTGTAAGTTAAAATAATTATAAATATTTTCAATTTAAATAATTTAATAAATTTTTTCCAGATCTTTGTGAAGCCCGATGCCAAGATCTGGCCCACTGTGGGCAGGATCGATGATGCCTATGGTGACAAGCATCTCGTGTGCACCTGTCCACCCATATTGCCTGATTTATAAGGAGTTTAGATCTTAGGAACAATCTTAATAACCGATTATCACTTATTTTTTAATAAAACAACTAAAGTACCTTTTGTACATTGCCTATTTTAATTTTGTTTACATCAAAAACTAAATTAGTTTAACTTCACAAATACATACACTTTGAATTAATGTTTAGTGTCATGTTAAATGCAATTTAAAGTTTAAATATTACTCATTACATAAATAAACTTAAATTCTCTAATTTTTAAACACAAAATGATGGTCATTTCATTACGTCCATGAGTTGAATAAGCACTTAAATATGTATACTTCGAGACATTTACATATAAATTAAATATGCATTTTAGGAATAACGTTTTTTCTAAGCTAATTAAGGGTGCTATTAGATATGGTTAAGGGTTTAAAATAATTTTAAAGGGTCTTTAATATATCTAGCTATACTCCCTAGATGTACTTAGTTTTCTTAGCCTTTGACTCAATTTTCGACTCTTTCACGCGAGTCTTGTAATGTTTATGAAAGTTATTCACATCGTTCATGGGTATAGTCCACTCTTTCGGACTTGGAAGCTTAGTGGGATCGGTTGACTCTGAGTATTCAGGGATTTCAACTCCCAGCAACTTGCAGACCTTGGATAATACCACATCCACATAGCTGGAGATGATCAAGTTGGCCTTTTTGTCGTGTTTTGTGGGCTGCAGATTACAAATGACTAACTTACCGCCGCGCTTTAGGTTCTTCAGCGGAAGATCCCCACTTGGAACGATTTGTAGAGTGGTTCCAAGGGCTATATTCAGATCTGCGATGCTGGAGTGCATCAGGCCCATTTCAAGATCCTTTTCCGGCAGATCATGCTCCCAATCGAGTACGTTGTCGTATAGTATTCCCGATCTGCAGCTGCGTCCTTTACTCTCCAGGGAAGACTTGCACGGACGGTCCAACGATTTCTGGCCCACAGTTTCCACGGCAGTGGATCTCACAAACTGGCGACGACACTTCTTACATTGCTCGATGTAAATATTGCCATGCAGTTCGGAGAGGAATTTCCTGTCCAGTCCAGATTTAAGGTGCAATCCATCGATGTTCTGGGACACCACATACTGCACGTAGCCACTCTCCAGCAGTGCTATAATGGCCATGTGCGTTTTGGTGGGCCTCGCCTCGTCAAAGGACACATTGAAGTCCGGTTTTTCGCCCTTTTCCTCAAGTGTCCATACTCCCTTGGGTCCCCGGAAATCAGGTATTCCTGCAGAGGTACTAATACCGGCTCCTGTGTGCAGGACAACATGTCCGGATTTCTTGATTAAATCCACAAGTTCTTGGCATTTTTCGGTCACCACATCGTCGCTGTCGAAGGTTTCGGGAGCTCCCAGGACTCCCTTGTCGTCGTAGGCTGATAGTCCTTCCGCATAGTTACAGCTCATGCCGGGTTTTTGTTTGGATTTTCTTTAGAAATGCGAATTTTTGCATAAATATTGTTTTGTTTACGTTTTCTTGCGGCCCATGGAAGTTTTTTGTTTTGTTTTTGTTTTGTGTGACCTTCATACAAGAAAACGAGAAATTCCAAAGAGCCTCGGGGAACACAGATTTGAAAACATTTTAAACGAAGGTTCCATAAATATATTAATTAAAATAACGTTTAATTATGCTTTTCAATCCTTTGAAAACAAAAACAGAATTAATATTATTAAAATAAATATCTCTTCATTTATCATAGTTCTTCCTTTTTAGTATATTTTGCAGTATATTTTAAACATTTTGCAATATATTTTTTTGAAGTTGCTTGGTAACATTGTCGGAGCTGTTTCGGCCAGGTACCGTGGTTCTTCATCATTATATAATTAAACTCCAAACTCGATGTGATCAAAACAAACCTGGCAGCGCGAACCAAGTGTGAGAGAGTGTGCGGGTGGTACCACTGTGGAAGATGGTATCGCGGTGACGGACAAATGCCCACTTCTCCACACAGCAGCAGCAGCAGCAGTAGCAGCAGCAGAGTAGAGCAGCAACTTTAGCAATATGGAGGACGAGGGCGAAGCGGAGTCCACAGCCGGAAGCCGACCCACTGTGGCAGCAACGAAATGGCTGGGACCGCCGATACCCCGGAATGCCAACGTCTTTTCGGAGCGCTTCTTTGGCTCTTTCCAGTGGGAGGAGTTCGCCTGCGGTTGCGGAGCAGCCTTCGTCAACATCGCCGCCACTTACCCCATCTACAAGATGATCTTCCGGCAGATGCTGCACGGCGTGCCCATCACTTCGGCCTTTGCCCAGCTGCGGCACGAGGGTTTGGGTTTCCTTTATCGCGGCATGTTGCCCCCGCTGGCCCAGAAGACCATCTCACTGTCCATTATGTTCGGCGTGTTCGATGGCACGCGGCGTTACCTCGTGGAGGACTATAGGCTGAATGACTATGGCGCCAAGGTGATTGCCGGCGTGGTGGCGGGCAGTGCCGAGTCCATACTCCTGCCCTTCGAGCGTGTGCAGACCCTGCTGGCCGACTCCAAGTTTCACCAGCACTTCTCCAATACGCCGAATGCATTCAGGTGAAAGTTTGCACATTTATTTAGCTAACAAATGCTAAACTAATACACCTTTTCATTCTCCAGGTATGTGGTAACCCATCATGGTTACCGGGAGCTATACAGGGGAATTGAACCAGTATTTTGGCGCAACGGACTGTCCAATGCCTTCTTCTTTGTACTCCGAGAAGAGGCCAGTGACAGGCTGCCAAATAGGGTAAGTAAGCAATGCTTGAATCTATCAGAGTACCTAACGCATCCAACTTAATTCCACAGAAATCCGTGTCCACTCGCACGGCCCAGGAGTTCATTGCTGGCGCTGTGATTGGGGCCACTATCAGCACAATTTTCTACCCGCTTAACGTGATCAAAGTGTCTCTGCAGAGCGACATGGGCCAGCGTTCGGAGGGCAGCTGGGAGGCGGCCAAGCGGATCTACAGGGAGCGCGACTGCCGCATTGGGAACTTCTATCGGGGGTGCGCCTTCAATACGGGACGCTCCTTCATCAGCTGGGGCATCATGAACACGGCCTACGAGAACCTAAAGAAGCTGATGCACCAGCAGCCAACGCAGATGTCGCTGACCACGAAGTAAGTGGGGGATAGGGGGAAACCAAAGGTGGTTCTAGATAGAAAATAAGCACACATAGAAACGACGGTTACTTCTGCCTTTTTTTAGCTAGCCAATTTTCATTTGGGTTAAGTCTAAGTCTAAGTTGCTCGTGTCGAGATGCTATTAAGGTGCTGAATTCTAGGTGTTTAATGTACATACACGCATCCTATGAGGAGGTATCCTCCTCCATTATAACCCATATCTGTATATCGATTCAATTGTCCCATCGGATGCCAAAGTTTTCTAGGGGCATTATACGAGAGCATTTATTGGAACCCAAATCTACGAGTTTACGGTTTAGTTAGTTACTATAATGACTTGTTGTAAATAATACCTACTAGATACAGTACAATATAATAGAATTGTGTTGTTCGTTCGCCGCTGATGACTTTGTGATTCATTGAAATTACTAAAAACTGAATACTATACGCTGTAAATTCAATGTTCGTATAAATATAGAGAAAACAAACTAAAATAAAAGTGTATTTGTAATTCAAAGTTTAATCATACATTCTTTTTCAATCTATAGTTAAGTGAGTTTTTCAGCATTTCCGTTGTTATCTTTCTAAAAGCTAATCTAGTGTCTAGGTGGTAGGGAACGAGTATCACAATTAAGATTAGAGGGATAAAGTGTGGTGACTGGCCTAGCGCTTTTTAAGTGAGCTGCGGTAACGTTGATAAAAGTCCTCCATGGCTCTGTACTCGGGCTCTAGTATGTCGGGTATCTCCTTATCCAGGGAAGCAAAGTACACCATTGCCACGGAGCTGGTGCCACGCAACTCCTGCTCGTATCGCCGTAGCTGCTGGAAGAATCCTGAATTCGGGCGAACCTGTGGCCTTATGGACTGGACGTGCTTGTAGGCCTCGCGAAGGCTCATTCCCGCATGCTTCATCAGGTAGGCCAGGCACAAACTGGCCGATCGACTAACCCCAGCCACGCAGTGAATCAAGGTACACCCTCCGGTTAGACGCACTTCCTCTATCAAGTCTGCCACCTCATCAAAATGCTTGGACAAGTCCACCTCCGATCGATCCTGGGCATTAATTCGCAAATACACGGGACTCCTCTCACTGGATAGTGGTGTGTCGGGCAGCTCAGGAGCCACATTGATGACGCAGCTCACGCCCAGTTTGTCCATGTAGGCGGGTACCACCGCTGCAGCGCCGCAAAGGATCAAGGAAGGGGTAAGACGAGACATACCGGGATAAGGTGTGTGATTCTCAGGACTTAGCTTGCTGGAAAAATAATAAAAGAAAGGAAGGAATAATTAATATTATCATTTTTTGCGGCAAACTTATATTTAACAGTATAAATACAATCTTAAACATTTCATTAAGTAATTCATCATCCTAAATAAGCTCATAAAATGCTGTAAGAAATAAGTTGTATACTAAATACAGCTATTAATGCTATTTATGATTTATGCATTTAAGCTAAACTGTCTAAATTCTATTTCGGTTTGTTCTTTTTCATATTTTTATATTTTTGTTAAAAATACTACGTACTCTTTCAGCTGGATACTAAGGGAAATTTAATATATTTTTTTATGAGTGGGTTGAAAAAACCAATAAAATAAGAAAATTTCTCAGAGGAACAAAGGAGAACGAACGAAACATTTGGTATTAAGCCAAACAACAAATATCGCATAAACAAATGGCAGGTATTCATGTATGTATTATTATTATTTTTGTTTTTTTTTTTGCGTAGTACTGCTAAAGCTCTCAACATGAAACAGCCCACCATTCGAGCAGGGTAATTTTGTGAATGGAAGCTAGATCAACACATCACCCAGCCAGCAACCTAGCCCCAATCCCATCCCTCCCGAAAGTCCCAACAGATCCTACGTATTTATCAGGCGACGTCATGGTTTTTTAGCGCTGCGTAGGCAACGTACAAACAATAAACATATGCCACATATCTGCACATATATACGAATTTGTATCTGTACACCTCAAAAATGTTGTTTATAATTAGTTTCGCGGAGTGTATAATAAATGGATGCGAAATGAAAATAGAATTGATCTATAATGGTGTTTGGTGAATGAGTAAACAAAGATATAACGTATCCACATTCTATTGTTTTTGAGTGTTTAAATTACAATTTAAGTGCAAAATATAGATCATTTTATTTTTAGAGACCTACGAAGATCATATAATTAAAATCAAATTAAATGGAATTAAGCCAAATAAATAAGCAATCTTTCCAAAGCTGTCAGTCAACATACATCCATATAATCCCATATTTATTTGCCCAATTTAAGATGGATACATTCCTAATGCTCCTATATATGATTACATCTAAATAATTAAAAAATAGAGACATAACATCTGGCTCTTATGCGCCTCATCCATCAACCCGCCCCGCTGTCAATGCCCCTTGTCAACAGAGATCAAATGGAGGTGGCTAAGACCCCCTCCTTTGGCACCTTTCCGCCTCTTTCAGCACTCTCCAAAAGAGGCCTACACTTAGGAATGTAAATGTAAAATTAAATACTGATTTTATTTTAACAACGAAACAATTATACGCTATGAAAAGTATTATAGAACTACATTAAGAATTTGTATATTATTCTCAAAAGAAATATTTTAAGGGAAATGATGAGAATATAGTAATACAGAATATAGAATTATAATTATAATATTTAAAAAAGATGTTACATTTGTACAAACGATATAAAATTATGAAATATTGTCTATAATTTCTTACGATATTCCTAGTTTTAGGTCCTAGCAATCTGTTGTTATATTCTAAACAAACCTTATTTATAACTCAAAGTTTATTTATTACCAAAATTTTGTAAGTAAATATTGTTCTATTCAACTTGATTATGTCTGCTATATCCCTGTAAAGAGCATTGCGTTCTTCTGTGTGTGTGTCACACAGGAAAATATGTCTTTTTGGTTTTATTATATGTTTACGGCGACTTTGCGTCGTCATTAAATAATAATCATGAATTCCGCTGGCAAGTTGCCAAAATTAATCATCGGTCACTTTCACTAGACCAAGCCAGTGGCATCGGCGCAGAAATGTTTTTGATTTGAAAATAAGTGAAATTAAAATATTTCACACCGCCCGCATTTATGGACGACACAATGATTTTGTTTCTTTATTTTTTATTATCGCTAAATGCAAAAATAAAAACCAAGAACAAATTGTGATGTTTTTTGAAATTCCACATCCATTATTTATGTATTCACTGTATAATGGATGAATTCCAAGTCCTTGTATCTAGGCGGGAATAGTTTTGCATTGTCAATCACATGATGATGTTGTGGGGGGAACTAGGTTAATGGAATGGCGCGAAAAACAGTGGATCCTCCCACGCTTATAAATCTATTAATTCTTCATTTATATTGTAATTGGCAAAACCAAAATGTATATTATTCTACTACCAATAATTTAAATATTACCTCAGGGCACCACACATATTTTATTTACTTATAATTTCGACTGCCAAAAATTTTTGACAGACCTGTAGACAGACCTGCCTGAGTTGCGCAAAATGAAAAATGACTAATTTCATTTTAGCAATTATGGTGTCCTTGAATTCAATTGTCAGAGTCAGGGCCTCCGATAAAGAATGCCAAGAATGCGCCAAAGAACCCAAGAATTATTTTAATGAATCCACATATATATTTTGCATTTTATTTCGACCACAACATTCAGTTCCGACATGATTTCCGCGTTGTATAAATGGGACAATTGCGAAAAATCGGGCCATGCTTGAAATATGCACACACATCTAGAAATACTTATATGTAAATACGTTGGAATTCGAATGGAATTTAGTTAAAAAAACACATCAGTTTTAAGAAACGCATGTGTCCAAATTGGGTGCATATGTTGTGGCTCGGTCTTTGAACTATTGTGCATAAAAAGAAGCTATAGAAAAATTTTTAATATATTTGTGTATTCAGTATTACTTTAATCTACAAAATAGACTTTATTTTAAAAGATATTTTATTTTGAGATAGCTTGGAAAAATATTCATTTATTATACAAATTTCTTTGAAAATTTTTCAAAATCGAATATATTTTTTGAAGACTTATCTTCAAAATTCCCAATATGTTTTTTCCAAAGCTTTGACAGCTTTTATTTATTAGTGCTAACAGCGACTTGATCATAAATTATACATTTATCTATTTTCCGCTTATTGTTTAAAAAATTATTTTTATAAAGTTTCAGCTGCTGGAATTATGATTTTAAAAGTGAATATAATTTGATTAATATTACACATTAAAAAATTACATATCAATACTTGCATAAAGGTCTATGGCTTTGTTTAGTACACTTTACAATTCAATTAAAAACTTTCACATTTTATAAAGCTAAGTAAATTGATACCATTACACTAATTAATTTTGTTTAGACCACGTCAAGCTGACGGCCGACCACAAAGGTCCGGAAAAGGTGACATCAGCGTGCGACCTTGACTAAACCATTAATGATTGTCACTAACTAAAACAGGGCTCAAACGCCCACCGCAAACACATTAGGCAAGAACAAAATGCTAGGGGTGTACTATATAATTCTATATACTATGTTATTATGCGTGCAAATGACTCACTTTTGGCGATTCTCGTTCTCGACATTCTCATTATCATTATAGGGGATTCGGATGCCTCCGCCTCCAACAATCAACTCCTGCATGTTTACGTTACGTTCGGAATTCGCGCCACTTAATTAAGTATTTACGCTTCGCAATAAACAAATTCCTCAAATTCCAGACAGAGAAAATATATAAACTATTTTCCGCTTGATCTCCGCGATTCGGTGGTTCGGTAAACAAACTGAAGTTCCTCGGGTATTTTTCGAGGGAAAAGTGATCCTATTCTTTTTGGCAAACCAACGACGACTGAGCGACAGCGAACCGAAAAGCTTTCGAAAAAATGTTTTCAGTTGATGTGGTGAGTTGGGTCTAACGCCGAGGTGCGTAAAGGTGTTGTGGGTGGAAATTGAGGTGGAAAATTCACCTGCCAACAAACAAATTCCACCTGTGCGAGCAGTGCCAATTTTCTCTACAGTCAGTAGGTACAATTAATCAATACGGACATAAGAATATAGTAATAATAGTTGATTGTAAAATGAATTAAAAAATATTTACTGGTTATACAATAAATAGGTTCTGTACAAAAGTTTGTTATTTTTATAATCATTATTTGTTTTATTTTTATTAATTATTATAATTATTATTTTTATTTTTCAAAACGCACAAGAAACCGAAGCAATTAAGAACTAGATGACCATGTTTCGAAAACACGAAACTATCTTTGTATACTATTGTTAAAGTAGCTTAAGTAGCTTCATTCAAAATTAATATATATAATACATGTTGAAATTTTTTATCAAAGGCGTATAGTTTAAAAATTAAAATAAAAGAAATCAACTGATAAAAATGACAGATAGCTGATCCAAAATCAAGGTTATTTTAAAGGAAATTTAATAGAATATTAAAGAAATTTCACATTTATAAATTTAAAAAAAAGAATTAATTGTTTTTTGTTATAATTATTTTTTATGGGAAATTTAAAAAAATTATTTGAATGCCTTCGATTACAATTTATCGATAACATCAATAACTGCCAGCCATAAGAATTACGCGCATTGTTGGTTGTTGGCCACACTAAAAAAGAGGAGAAGCGGGAGACGAAAGCAGACGCCACAAAATTGGTTAAAAATTCTCAAATCCAGGATCTGAAAGTTATACGGCTGAAATGGGAAAAGAAAAGGCCGGCAAGTCCTTTAGCATAGGCGACCTCGTGTTCGCCAAGGTCAAGGGCTATCCGGCGTGGCCGGCGAAGATCACCAAGTACATAAACAAGAAGTACAATGTTTACTTCTACGGCACTGGCGAGACGGCCAACATCAAGCTGGAGGATCTGTTCTCCTACGCCAACAACAAGGAGAAGTTCGCCACGGATAAGAACATGAAGCGCGCTAAGTTCAGCGACGCCATCGACCAGATCGAGAGTGCATTGGCTGGAGAGGACTCGGCCCCTATCGATTTGTCCGAAGAGGGAGCCCCAACTTCCGCCACCTCTGAGCCCTCGTCTCCCACCAAGAAGTCGGAAGAGGCCACCAAGCCCGAGACTTCCACCTCCACTCCTGCTGCAGCTTCTACAAGCGAGAAACCCAAAAAGACCCCAGGAGGTGCCCGGAAAACCAAGGCACCTCCACGCCATGTGGACGGCGATACCGATGCGGCATCTGGCACCGAAGCCTCGGGCGCTGCTGATGCTCCTCCGCCGCCGAAGCGTAAGGTTCCGCCGGAGGGATTAAATGCAACAGCAAGTGCCGCCTCTGCACCGGCTACATCTGCTGCTCCAGCTGCTGGTGCCACGAACCGCCAGAAGTCCGTTAAGAAATCGAAACCGACAGCAGCCGTAACTCCCATCCAGAAGCGCTCCAGGCCAGTAAATGTGAGTATATAACAATAGTACTTGCAGGAGAGCGGTATTAAGCCGATATAGAACAATAAAATTATACCAATAAGATCTCGGTGACATTAACTTCATACAAATTTTTGACAGTTGACGTTCAACAACATATAATTATAAGAAGCTGGATAGCCTTCCAAGTTGACCAACCAATTTTTCTTTTCATATTCGTAGAACATCCAAAACGACATGTTGATGGTATACTTGCCGACGGCCAAGTGCTTGGGCATTGATCTTAACTACAACAAGCCAGAGAACTTTGAGAGTGCCGCCGCCGAGCAGGCCTGGAAGGAGAAGACGCGCATAGAAGCCATGGAGCTAAAGGTGAAGCTGGAGAGCGGCCAAGTCGAGCCAGAATCTATGCCAGAGCGCATAATCGTAGAGCCAGCACGCAGCGAGATCCCGAAACAGGAGGCTATGCGTTTCATTGAGGAGCTAATTGAGCATGAGGATAATCTATTCATGGAACGTGACTTTATCCAACTCTCCCAGCAGCTGCGCGAGTGCTTGGGACTGCGTCGAGCCAATGTGGGCAAGTGCTTGGAGATTCTGGAGATGTTTAAAGACGTTGAGCTAAACAAGCTGATGCTGTTGCGGAATCCCGAATGTGTGGACATAATGCGGCGTTTGCGTCGCTATGTGGGCAACTTGGAACTCTGGAAAATGGAACACTGCGACGAGGTGGAGTTTAAGGAGAAGGCCCAGATTATACGAAAAGTGTCCGCCTCTATATATGACGGCTTTAAGGGTCTGTTCAATTCGGAAAATGAGTACGAAGACAACTTCTGGATAGAGTTTTGTGAAAAAGTTAAGATATACAAGGCGTACACAAAGAATATGAATGAGAACCTGCGAGTGGGTATGAACGAGCGCGGCTACAACAATCTGGTTGAGGCCAAAGAAGGCTCCACCGCCGCCGTCGCTGTCGAAGCGGCTCAAAAGTAGATGATCAGTGTTTTTGTGGACAAGCAAGTCCAATTGGTAAGCAGAAATTTTTAATAAAAAATCCGTATTAAGCTTCTAACACTCACTTTTATTTTTCAGCTAGACATAAGACATAATGAATCGAGCATATTTGGAGCTCTAACGACGAGTGCTATTTGCTTATTTTCTAGGATTAATTTTAATGCAGATTACTTACTCTGATGACCGTGTGGATCCCTTATAACTAGACATATTCCAGCTTCCTTCGATCCTTACTTACATATATATACCATATGTGTGCGTAGAAGTTCGATGATTAATAATGAATTAAACTTAGAGGCAGTACATGATCCAGCCAAAACGATCGTTTTCATTTTTTTTTTTTAATTGGTTTGAAGGACTTTTGGTTAGAAAAATAATAAATACAAAAGTCTGCAGTGAAGTTGCATTCATAATCAATTTATTTTATAAATATATTTAAGCTTTAGGCTCTTCTTACGTACTAATTAATAATAAAGAATCAATTTTCCTTGGCATCTCCTATGCCATCTGGCAGGATGGCAAACATTGCCTCTGATTCCGGCAGGCAGGGTGAATCATATATCTTGCATATTCGCGTCTCGCCCTTGCCTTTTCTCAGATATAGTCGCGTGGTCGAGGAGTGAGCCATTATATGTCCTCCGATCGGTTTCTTGGCATCTCCCGCAAACATGCCTGGGCCACCGTCCAGCGAGGCTGTCACCTGATTGGTAATCACAACGGCCACGCCAAACTCATCCGCTAGACGTTGCAGCATGCGCAGGAATAATCCCAAATGGTTCTGCCGAGCGGCCAACTCGCCTCGTCCAATATAATCCGAACGGTACAGAGCCATTGCACTATCCACTATGACGACGGCGTATCTGAAATGTTAGGAAATAGTTTAGATATGGGTTACCTTTATCTAAAAAAGTCTATCTCACCTGGATTCAAAGAGCATGCCCGCTGCCATCTGAATGAGTCGCGTTTGCTGGTCCGAGTTATAGGCCCGCGAGCACGCGACGTTGTCGAGGACCTCAGCCTCGTTGAGCTTGTAACGTTGAGCAATGGCTGACAACCGCTCCGGCCGGAAGGTGTTTTCCGTATCAATATACAAGCACTTGCCCTCGCCACCCTTCTGACTAATGGGCAGCTGGCAGGTGACCGCCAAGGTATGGCAGATCTGCGTCTTGCCGCAACGGAACTCTCCAAAGATCTCCGTAATGGAACCTGTCTCAATGCCACCGCCTAGAAGTTTGTCCAGTTCCTTGGAGCCTGTCGTTAATTGTACCACGTCCGCTCGCATCTGATGGAAGGTGCGGGCACTGAGGAAGCCCAGAGGTACCAGTTTGTTTGCCTCCGTAATGATCTGCTCCACCTTGCCGCCGCCCAGTCCGGGGATGGCCATCAGCTGCTTCTTTGTGGCATTGGCCACCGCCTCCACAGTGTGCAGGCTGGCCTGCTGCAGCAGTCTAATGTCCTTGGCCGTGATGCTGCCGCCCTGGAAGGTGCGTAGATGAGAAAGGGTGCAATCATCTAACGATCATTGATCGACGCTCACCATTAACTTGGAAACGCTCAGCGGTCCCCCCTCCTCCTCCTCAGTAGCCGATGTCTCCACATTTGACAGCTTCTCCATTGACAGCTGCGAAGTTTGAGTTCTCGTTTTTTAATCGAATTTACACTTAAAATTCTCAGTTTTAAAAGTTGGCAGGAAATTTCGTCAAAGATTGCCGCCAGCGCCGTAGACGGACCGTAGGAGCAGAACAGGTGAGAAAATTTTCCCTTTCACGGTGGCTGGCCTCACTTAAGGCGCGCAATTGTGCTCATGACATTGGCGTTGCCACACATTTCAATGAAATTAATTTTCCTGACTTGCAGAACGTACAACTTTCGCTACAGGAAAAATAACATATGGAAGGACAGCTCATCGCAATGAGCGACTATCACTATTTCGATATTAAATTGTGAGTAGAGAAATAAATTTCTTTCTTTATTTTTACCCTATGTTATTAGAAAGATACGAGACCCGGATGATGTTGTTTTGACTCCAGCCCTCTTCCGTAGCTGCGTTATTGATGCTATTTACAGTTTTTGTTGTGAGGAAAAGCCAATCCTCGAGATTGTAAAGTTTTGTGCCCTTCAACAACGCATTATTTTCCGGGTCCCAGAGGATTTGTTCGATGTTGCACGCATTTGTATTCCACTAATAGGGCACTATCAGCAAAGTCCCTGTCATTTTGAGATCCTTGAAACGTCTAAGACAATGCTGGACTTTGAAAAAGTCAGCGAAAAAGAAGACATTACCAGCTGCAATTAGAAAATGGTTTCATAAGTTATTCTCCGAATATAAAAACATTCATGTTAATTTAATTTTATTTAATAACGAATTTATTAATTAAATAAAGCAGCTAAAGTATAATTTAGAAAACTCAATTTTCCAGTTCTGAGCGTTTTAAAAAATACTGACACTATACCATCAACCATGAAATGGTTGGCACTTTCTATTTGGTCCAGCTGTTTCGAAGCCTGAAAGAAATTAGAGCTGCCGGATATTTAAAAAAAAATATCAAAACATCGATATTTGGGCAAAAAACTATCGATATACTGATATTTTGATATATTTTCAACCCTAGAAGAAACAGTGAAAAGGGAAAAATTACATAAAAAACACACTGACCGGCATTTTTCGAGGACTTCCCGAAGCTTCGGAAGAAAATTGGACCCGGTCAGCCTTACGGGAGACTTGGAGTTGTTGTGACCGAAGCATGAGTGGTTACCAATACTTGGACGTGAAGCTGTGAGTGCTGTAATTCTAACTCACGTTCGCACGTGCTGGCCAAGAGGATTTAAAATGATGACTTAAACCTGTGTTTTCTTCCAGAAAACTCAGTGATCCCGAATCCGTAACATTGACGCCCGTCTTTCTCTGCGGCTGCATTATCAGCTCCCTGACGAGTATCTTTGGGGAAATTGGTGGACAGACCTCTGTGAAGATTGTGAAATTCAGCGCCTCGCAGCAGCGTTCCGTGTTCCAGGTTCCTGAGGATTTCCTAGAACGAGTCCGCATCGCAATATCTTTGATTGGCTACTACCAGGAGGTGCCCTGCCATTTCCAAGTGCTCAACACATCTCCCAAACGACTGGATTTCGAGGATACTGAGGAAGAATTCATTACATTCATCTAGAAAGATGTCATCCTTTTCATTCTGCAAGGAATACGGCAAGGACAAGGTCATCTTTGTCACCAAGGAGGACCATGCCACGCCCAGCAAAATTGAGCTGCCGGCGCCGGAACAGCCAGAGGGTGTTATCACCAAGGACGGCAATATAAACTGGAGTTGCCCGTGCCTAGGTGGCATGGCCACCGGCCCCTGCGGCGTTGATTTTCGCGAGGCCTTTTCCTGCTTCCAGTACAGCAAGGCCGACCCCAAGGGCTCAGACTGTTACGAGGCTTTCACCAAGATGCGCGACTGCTTCCAAATGTACCCCACCGTATACAACAAGTCCGGCGGAGCTGATGATGACGACGACGATGGCCTGGGTGATGCTTTGGACGCAGGTGCAGCTGGCGACGCCGATCCGCTGGCGGATGTGGGCGCTCCTGAAGCCGCCGATGAGGCGGCGGGCCCCAAGAGCACCTCGGTGGTGCCCAAGGCCTAGGATGACAATATCTGTTATGTTGAACTTACTTAATGATAAGAGCTAGGTGTGACTTCGTAAAAATAAAAAAGCTTGTCATAGTTGTGGGCCAAAAAGCCACTTAATATATATACCATGAATATCGTGACTTTATGTTTTACCTGCTTGCTTAAAATAATAGTTTTTGCCAACATTAAAATTAAAATTATCTTCGCAACTTCAAATTTGTAGTAAGCCGTATGAGTTTACATTCATGTACAATAAGATTATTCTGTACTGACTGTTGGAAATTGAATTAAACTAATTTTGTTGGAACAAAATAATTGCTTTAAGTAGTTTGTTTATAAATTATCACTTTAAAATTGCAAATAACTTTTAAATAAAATATTTGAATCGTGAACATTCATTCGTTTACTTTCTATTCTGGAACATAATTTGGCCGATATTACCTTATATTTATAAATTGTAAACTTTGAAAATTATTATTAATATTATCATAATATTAAGCACATATAACATTGGGCTTGTGTTTTTATTTGAATTTAACTTATTTATTATTATTTATTGTTTTTCACTGTAGGCCATTTTTTTCGTATTATTTTCCGTATTTTCGCAAAGCGTTAGCACCTGACCGCGGTATTTTCGGCCACATGCAGCCACACTGTTTACGAAGCAAGCGAAAGGAAAGAACGTAAAAAATAATATTTCGTGACGAAAAAATGCTGTAGGCGCATTGTAAAATGCATATAGTGCTGATAAATCGCGTTTGTGAGATGCTAAAACGCGAGTTCGACACCAAGTCCGTGCAGAACTTCAAAGTGCAATAACAAAATAGGCGCTGTATCGAATATACCAAAGTGCAATTGGCCAGTTGAGACTACAACCACAACAAAAACAACAACACAATCGACATCGAAGACTACTAAATAACCTTGTACGCTGTGATCAGAAATAATATACATAGTTAATCAGCGTAGAAGGCATAATATTAAAAGGCGAATAAGTGGTTAAATAATACAAGTAACAACAAGTTTAATAGGAAAAACACGCTGACTGTCTCTGTGTGTGTGAGTGTGCGAGTGAGTGTGAGTGCGAGAGTGTGCTACCAATACAAACGCAACCACGACGCAATACAAGCGCACAGCGCATAGTTTTCTAATAATAATAAAAGAAATAAAGTAACGGCGATAAATAATTTAAAACAACAACAACAGCAACGAAGAGTCTCAAAAAGTGCTGGAAAAACTCGCGATAAGGAAAAGCGAAAGAAAGAAACCAACGAAAACAATAACAAAAAAAAGCAAACGGAAACCTCCACATCGACAGATCTTTGAATGCTGCTGCATTTTGATCTCCGGCAAACAACAAAATGGTTTCGTTAATTGATACAATCGATGCGGCAGCCGAGAAGCAGAAGCAACTGGCGGTTGCTGCATCCACCTCATCATCCTCATCGACCTCCCCAGCTTCCTCCTCCGATTCCTCGTCCTCCAAATCCAATCTCACGGCCAGCGGAAAGCCAAAGGAGAAACGAAGGTGAGTGGAATTTAAACCAATGTACACTGTGATCATATCCATTGCAATCCCCCGGAATATTATTTAGATCAGTTGATTTTTTGCCTATTGCATAAGCGTTTGCTTTCTTTTTCTGCCTCCTCTTCGCCGCTGCTTCTGCTGCTGCTGCTGCGGCGAAGCGGCTTTTGTTGCTATCGCGCTTTTCTGCTTGTCTTCTCCAATTCCTCGTCTCGTATTTCATGCATTTCTCTAGATGTGGGATCATCCATGGAACCTACTTAATGCCAAAAGGATTTCCCATAATGTTTCTTAATCTTGTAGAGTTATGGACAGGTTTTGGATAATATGCCTAACATTAGGACCGTTTTGTAAACTTTATCATTGCTGTTTTAGGTTAAACGTATTGTTACTAATTGATCATTTGATCATATCGTCCGTTTCAGCAAAGTTTTTTTTTTATATTTGGTAATCAATACTAACCGAAAATTCTCTCCACTGTGCCTGTATAACGATCCCGATGCATCCATCAGATATTTTCTTTTTGAAGCAGATTATTTTTAAGGAACTTTGATTCTGAATATCATTATCCGTTTGTTGGACATATCTTTTCTCAATTGTTTGCCCTTAGATCTTATTATAATCATTACGTTATTCAGTTTAGTTATTTTTCTTTTCCGTAAGCCTTATATGGTAAAGTTTTGAATGTATTCAATTTATTCATGGAAATATACCAATTTAAAATCATTTAATAATGGATTACTAATCAAACTTTGTCGTTAAATGCTGCTCAACATTTTCCAGAATCATTTGTCTATAAATTTGCTAGATTATTAGCATATTGTTTGTGTCTAGCTTTACTCATGAACTCGTTACCTGGAGAGCAATTTTTTTCAACAAATATTCCGAGTAGCTTCAGATTTTTCTAGGCTCCTCATTTTGCTCTGTGTGAGGTGCTTTTCTTACCTAGATCTAACTTATAGCCTTTCAGAATTTTTTACTTTTTGAAAACTTTTGTCAAATCCATAATGATGTGGGTTATTTCCTGCTATATTAATCATTCCTGTCTATCGTTTTTCCTATATTGAAAATATAATATAATTACCATAAAGCCTTTCCTGGATGTATTTGATTTTCTTTGACTAAATTTATTCCGCGCTTGATTTCATTAGCTTCCCTTTCTGGGCGTCACTAGCTGACGAAAAAGCCGAGAAGAGAGACGGCAGAGAGAGCTGGCAAATGGGGGAATAGAAAAATATCGAAAAGCCAATCATTAATCACGCGTTCAACTAATTTTTGCATTCGCCGTAATTATACAAACTTGTGACGGAGACGGAGAACGCAACGACCGAGACCCACGACCTTCAGCGATTCAAAGACAAAAGTCGAGACAAGTTGGCAATAAAAAATAACAAACTGAAATCGCTCCGTTTGCATATATGCACATTAAGGTTTCCGCAATGGAATATAATATCGAAGAGATATGTATATAAAACCAGCAAACAACCTTTCACAACTCTTGCAAAGAAAGTGTAGGACAATGTTGGCGAAAGTCCTTGGGTATTGAATATACACGTAGATAGTTAAATCAAACTACCTTAGGTTTATATTTCTATCAGCATATCTTCTAATGATCAGTGTATCTGCTTTCTTGATTTCCAGTTTTATACCCGTGAAAGCTGTTCTAATTTTAGCCAGAAGCTTGTAATGTTGTAAAGGAGTCATTTCCGACCCAAAAAATCATATATATTCTTGATCAGAATGAATAGAATAGAAATAAATTTTCGAAATTTTTGCAACATTTTATAAGGGGTTACATCGTCAAAATTGGGGGAAAAAATTGTCCAAAATTTGAATTTGTTTAAATTTTAAATCGAGTGAGCAAATTTGTTAAAATATTAAAAACTAACATAGGAAAATTTTCAGAATTAAAGTTAATGCTTTTTTGACTTAGTTTCTTAAATTTTTATTTGTGATAAGAATCGTCATATAAAAATAAAGATAAATATTTACTCAAATAATAGTATTATAATTTTAGTCAGGAGGTTGTAATTTTGTGAAGGAGTCATTTTCGATCAGCACCAACAGCCGGATCGATCTAGCTGTATCAGGCGGAAAATTTTATCAATTTTTTCAAAATTTTATAACGGGTTACATCTTTAAAATTTGAAAAAAAATTGGAAAAAATTTAATTTTTTTAATATTAAATGGAGTTAGCAGATTTATAAACCTATTAAAAACTAACATACAAAAGTTTTCCGAATTAAAATTAATGCTTTTTTGACTTCGTCATATAAAAGTATTGATAAAGATCGATTAAAATATAATTGAATATTTTAAGCTTGGTTATGATCGAGTTACGATGCAAAGCATCGGCTTCCCGAAGCAAATTACCAAAAAATTTGATGACAAACTAAACTTGATTATAAATAAATTCATCATAAACGAAAAAATGCCAACCTAATTATTTGCATAAAGCTTATTGGCTTATCTACTGATGTACATACACATATGTATAACTAAAACCATATTTTTCATATCACACCTTTCTTAACAATAATCCTAACAAGTTCACCTTATCAGAGTAATAACGAATTGAAGCAAGTGCACACTTCAAATCACTTGTTGCGCTCCTTGAAGTCGTATCCTTCAAGGGTTCATGTCCTCTGTTATTAAGGCCAAGCCCCCATGATTTTGATTTATTTTTAGCTCACTCCATTGTTCCTTCTGTTTCCTTACGCACTGTGGGTTATTTTTAAATGAGGGAAAAATCGTATTAAAAAAAGAGGAAAACCTGTTATGTTTGCTCTCTTTAAGTTCAAAAGCAACCAGTTTTTTGTATTCCTCTTGCTTCGTTTTATCAGCTTTTGTTTTGTTTTTCTTCTGTTTTTTTTGACTCCGTTTTTTGCTTTTTGCTACGCCCCTTTTAAAACCTAAAATTTATTTGTTTTAAAAAACCATAAACTGTTTTTTACGTTTTAATTTAAAAAATGAAACTATGCCTTGCTTTTGGCCTACGTGACAGCCATAAAGCCAATGTGTTTAATAGCCGAAAAGTTGAAAAGCGGTTCTATAACCATTTTAAATCGACGATTTGACTTCGATTAGACCCACTAACCGACTATTGGCGGTAGTTTTCCCCCATTTACTTCGAACTGGTTCCAAAAATATTTGTGTGCGCACTGTAAACAATTGATTTCAACTAAAACTAACCTAAGAAATTTGCCAGACTTTAGTGAAAGCTTTGCACTGAAAAATATAAATAAAGAGTTGTTGATATAGTTGATGTATTTAAAGCATAAACTTCGATCTGAAAAGGTTTTAAGTATTTTAGAAATATTAATTTCAAATCTTTTGTTATTAGATAGATTAAAACATAAAGGGTTTAAATATATATTTCAATTTATAAAGAAGTTAAATACTTTCTTCTACTAAAATAAAAGCATTTTATAAGTCTAAAACCCACTGATCTTAAAAATATTTATTTCGATCTTTACATTGTGACCTTTATAAAAATGAATTATTACAAGCAGGAATTTCAATTAATGTTATAGTTTGTTATTTTAAATTCGTTTTTTTTTAACGCTGTCAGACCTGTTTTAATCCGAAAAACAAGGAAAAAACATACAGAAGTCAATGAATAAAAACTAAAAAAAAGAAAAATAATAAAAACCGACAAAAAACAAAAACTCGCACAATAAATTTATTTCAATACCAACGAATACAAACACACTTACATGCACACACACACACACACATACTCAGATGTGTGTAAATTATTTAAATGATATGCCTTGATGTTGTTGTTGTTTTTGTATTTGTTTTTGTTGTCTGGCCACGACGACCTACTTTTTTGCGCAATCGAACTAAAAATGTGACGACACGGGGAGAGGTGTGGAACGCCCAAAGGGGGAGGGATTTTTGAAGGGAGTGACAGAGAGGGAGAGAGAGAAAGAGCGCTGGCATTGTATTATTAGGCTTTTGGAGTTATTTGTTGTTGTTTTCTTCTCGCCTTCCTCTTTATTTTCATCCACAAATTTTTGTTTTGCTGCTGTAGTACACAGAGAATAATTGGGCTTTTAAGAAGTATAATATTTCTATAAAGAAAAACTTAAATATCTTATGGATACGGAGTTTAATTTTAAGAAAAATAAGAATTAAATATATACTTATTTTTGTTTGTTTCAAGAAATTAGAATATAATGTAAACTTATATATGCATATCGTTAAAGAAGTGTTTTAAGTTACAAACATTTTTTCTTTGTGCACCGAATTGAACTTGATGCATCGACAGAGATAGATATAGTTGTAGAGAGAGAGACAGAGCAAGGGCAACGCAGCTTCCGAATCTGGTTCAGTCATTCAGTTGTTTGATGGGCCCTATATGCATCGCATCGCATCTGGCGTAAATTATGAATCTTTTTCATTTTAATTTCTGACAGAGAAAGTGGAAATTTATGGCTGCCTTTACTTGAAAATATATTTTTGTAAAATAAAATTGCGCCAAAAAGATCAGACAGTTTCAGTGATCAGTTTTGTAGGGAGTATCTTTTTGCTAAAAGAAATACAAAGATCTTGTTGTTTGTTTGGTTTGTGTTATATCTGCTGATTCTGTTTAATTTATGACGTGCTTTTAATATTATTTTAATTTTTTAATAAAGTTGGAATAACAAATAAATAACTAGTTTGAATAGATTAAATAATGTTACCTATCTCATTTTAATTTAAAAATTTTCCCTGAAAAGGGGTTCCTTTATGATACCTCTCCAGATAGACAGACATTTGTAGCATAAAAAGGTAAACAACGAGGTTATCATCTTCCATGGACTGATATTTTAACTTGACCCCGGCTGTCTTTCCCTATCTTCTCGAACTGATTACATTGTGATTTTGATTACCTTTTGTATGGGAAGCCTACGAGCTTCTGTTCCACGCTCTTATCTCGTTTCACTTTCCTCGCTTGTTTACCAAACGAACTAATCTAAATATTTAACTGTTATGCTATAGTTCTTATCGGGGAAATC